ACATACAAAGTGAGTTTGCACAGTATATTTTGCAAACCTTATGTGTGCTACGACTGTATAATACTTCATATGTTGCTCAGCTATGTCGGCTGAGTACAGCAATACCCCCGTATGTACCTTTGCCAGGTATGTGTGGACATCGGAGGGGCACATTTGGGACACAGCCATTCCAGTTTTTTTCAAACTTTGAATTTTTATGCTGTGCCTATGTCCCATTTTAGAGTATTTTACCAGGCTATATAATCCAAATTCCCCATAAAGCCATACCATTTCTTAAAGAAGACATCCCAGGGTATTTCAAAAGGCATATTTTGAACCTTAGCGTGGGATCATTTTTCCGCTAGCTTGTACCAAGTGTAGTGGTAATAAGCATTTTTTCTGCCTTTTTGACATACAAAGTGAGTTTGCACAGCATATTTTGCAAACCTTATGTGTGCTATGACTGTATAATACTTCATATGTTGCTCAGCTATGTCGGCTGAGTACAGCAATACCCCCGTATGTACCTTTGCCAGGTATATGTGGATGTTGAAGGGGCGCATTTGAGACGCAGCCATTCAGTTTTTTTCTAACTTTGAAGTTTTACGCTGTGTCCATGTTCCAATTTGGAGTAGTTTAGACGGTTGGTTATTGAAACTTCCCCACAAACACATACTATTTATTAAAGAATACACCCTGGGGTAATTCAAAAGGCATATTTTGAACCTTGGCGTGGGATAATTTTTTCTCTAGTTTGTTCCAGGTGTAGTGGTAATGAGCGTTTTTAAAATGTATTTTTTTACTTTTTATAACTTTTTTACTTTTAAAAACTAGTTTTTAAACTTTTGTTTTGCTTATAAATTTTTTTTAAACTTTCCTAAACTTTCTTAAAACTTTTTTACAGATTTAACATTTTTCTAAGCTATTTTTTTTTACCGTTAACCCCTAACTAGCAGTACGCAGCACTAACAGTAAATTCCCCATTTTCCCATAACTCCCACCCACCCCAGCTAGCAAAATATATAGTTATAAAATATTTAAATTAATTAATTAAATAAATTGAACCCCTGAGGGTTAAAAAAATAAATAAAAGTTAATCCTCAGGGGTTAAAAAAAATTAGATCACAGTATAATACTGTGATCTCTATTTGATCGCTGTAGGCAGTGATCGACTGGCAGGGAAGGGGTTAATTTTTATTTGGACTAGGTAAAGTGTGTTTTTTTTGTTTTTTTTACTTAAATGTTATTAAAACATTTTTTAAGCTTAATTTTTAACTTTTTAAAGTTTCTTTTAAAACTTTTTTTTAACGTTAACCCCTAGTTAGCCTAACGCCAAATCCCCCAATTCCCCACTAACTTCCACCCACCCCAGCTATCTAAATATATAATTTAAAAATAATGTAATTAATTAATTTAATTAATTTAACCCCTGAGGGTTAAAAAAAAAAAAGAATTAACCCTCAGGGGTTAAAAAAAAAAATCAGATCATAGTAAAATGTAATCCCTGCCAATTGATCACTGTAGTCAGTGATCAATTGGCAGGGAATGGGTTAATTTTTTATTAAAATGGGTAAGGGGGGGACACTTTAAATTAACTTTATTTTTTTTTCCAGCAGGGGGCAGGATCAGCACTGATCCGGCTCCCTGCACTTCACACAGAACCCGGAAGTGCAGGGAGCCGGTAGGTGAGTATACAGAGCACATGTGCTCGCTCTGACTTGCGGTCAGAGCGAGCACATGTGCTGGGCAGCCTGACCGGGTGCTCCCGGTATGCCTCTAATGCAGAGGCATATCGGGAGCACCATTAACCCCGCGATCGCAGCGATAGCGGCGATCCGGGGTTAATTTTACCGCGTGACGGACGAGGTCCGTCACCCATCGTTAAGGGTCTCCCCTCTGTGACGGACCTCGTCCGTCACCCGTCCTGAAGGGGTTAAACAAAAAAAAATGTGCGCTGTAAATGAAAGCACTCACAAGATCTAGGCATTTTATGCGCTCAAAGGGTGCCTCACCCTGATGTTATTGGGGGCTTATGGATGCCTCTTCTCGGTCTGCGAATGTAGAAGGAAATGAGGACTCCAGATGGTTATATTAAAATATAGCGGCTTCTATTATAAATAAAATTTGTGAATTAACACCTGAGTAATGCTATTAAGACAGCAGTAATAATGGTCTTACGTGTTTCGTCCCACACTTGGAACTTCTTCAGAGACCGTAAAATCAAGACAAGTAACAAATGATTGTACAAAAAAAAAAATAACAATTCCCACCTGAGAATCCCTTTAAATAGGGCTAATCCCTGAGTCCATTGGTGGTTCCAAGGGTGTTGCTTTTCATATGTGGTCCTATTGGTTCCATTCTCCTATCTGATCACTTGTTGATTTTCAAGGTTTTCTCCTGTGTCTCAGCCACGTCAGAAGCACATTCCACTGAACACTTCCGCATTCCATTCAATGAATGCCATGTACCAAAGAGATCAGATGTTGTATGCGACCTCTGGCAGTCGCAGGGATTGCAGCTACGGTTGGGCCCCCTGGAGTGACAGCCTGGTTGCAGCTGACACCCATGTGACTGTGGTAGGTATGTCACCGCACACAGTCACAGATCTCAATGCAACATCCAGACTACCAAACAAGGTCACCCCAGAGGGGCCCAATGAGGGATTTGAACCTAGGTACTTTGCAGTTGTGGACCTGCTATTTTGTCTCTGAGCCACTACACAGCACTAGTAATGGGGGATGGAGGTTATCTGAGACTGCTCCTGTCACTCATAGTTCACCTGTGGCTGATCACCAATTAGCCAGGTAAAAGACACTGCCTCTCCCTGAGGGCAGTGTCAGTTCATTGACTCTGGTTCCTGTATTGGTGTTTGTGTTCTCCTGCTGATTCCTGACCTTGGCTTGTTGTTTCGTGTATCCTGACTTCTGGCATCCTCTGACCTCGGCTCTCTACTCGTTTATCCTGATTTCTGGCACCCACTGACCTTTGGCTTACCCAAGATGATTCTCCTGTTTATGTCCGTATCTGTACTGCGACTTGGAGCATCATGCTGCACAGCCCCCGTGCACAGACACACAGGCCAGGTGAGTTCTTACCTGACCACCTTGGCCTGTGTTTAATTGCAAGGGTGAGCATATATCTGCGCTACAGACTCCCAACTAAGGTAAGCTGTGATAGAATGAACTGACCATCATGGAGTCCACAGAGATGTTCAAATTGCTTACCCAGCAAGTCTCCAGCCTGGCCCAGAATGTTTCGGAGCTGCAGCGAGAAGTTCTATTTCTTAAAGGCACAGTACGCCCAGCCCCGGAACCTGTTTATTCAGAACCGTTTGTTGTTATGCCAGAAAGATTTGAAGGTTGCCGTGCATCCTTCCTGTGCTTTAAGGTAGACTGTGAATTGTTGTTCGCCCTGAAGCCTCGGACGTATGCCAACGACTTCATAAGGGTCCGAGCAGCTATCAACCTGCTGTCTGAAAAGATGAAAACATGGGCACACCAAATGCTGAATTCTAAGAATTCTGACCTTGATAGTTGGGACTCCTTTATGTCTGCAATGGACTCTCAGTGCTTTTCCTCTAAGAAAGCAACTCCCAATCCTGCTCCAGGTTCCCGCAGATTGAGGATACCTAGAGAAAACGACTTCACATACGCATACAAAGACCCCGTCATGTTGCAGCGTGAAAGTACCTCTAGAGATTTGTCTTGTTACCCTGACTATACTACAGTCAGCCGTGAAACTCCAGTGGACAGGGAGGAACCCATGGGGATTGGATTCATCCGACCTAGGTTGCCTCCAAAGGAAAGAGACCGTAGGAGAGTCCATGGCCTGTGTTTCTACTGTGGAGAAAGAGGGCACTTTATCTCCCTCTGCCCTTCTCGCCCACCTCTGCCTAAAACTGTTCAAGTAAGTACTGTCTGTACCCGTCCTGTCATCCCGGCAACACAGCCTGGAAACTGCCAGCCCTGTCCCCGTTCTGTGACACAAAAAAGGGTACCCAAACTACTACATTCAATGTTACCAGTGTCCCTCAAGAACCTGCAACCAGTACACCTGAGGAATCTCCACCTCCTGCTCCAGAAACATCCGTACCTCTTCCTGAGGACACTTCTGTTCAAGCAAGCACCATCACCACTTCCTGCCTTGCCAAGAAAGTTCTGCCACCTGATTGTACGTATGCCTCAAATGGCACAGTTGTATGCAAACAGGATCTCAAAGTATTCGAAAAAGCATTGAAAGCTGCGAATGCCTCCCCTGTGAGAACAACTAGAGCAAAGGCTATGGTAGGTGCTGTTTCCCTCTAATCTGGAAGAAGGCCATACATATGGCATGGATGCCTATGGGAGAACGTACCTCCTGCCAGATAATATATTCGATCTCTCAGAGGAGGAGGGTAATTCTGATCTGGAAGGAAATGGTGAGCAACCAATTCACACCCAGAGGGCGTTCTTGAAGGGGGGGTACTGTCACGGCTCTCACTGCGACATCCAGATGAGGTCGCCCCAGAAGTGCCCAATGAGGGATTTGAACCTGGGTACTTTGCAGCCCTGGACCTGCTATTTTGCCTCTGAGCTAGTAATTTACTGAAATCTAATCTTGTCTAGTATCCAGCACTGGGGGCTGGACGTTATCTGAGACTGCTCCTGTCACTCATAGTTCACCTGTGGCTAATCACCAATTAGCCAGGTATAAGACACTGCCTCTCCCTGAAGGCAGTGTCAGTTCATTGACTCTGGTTCCTGTATTGGTGTTTTTTGTTCTCCTGTTGATTCCTGACCTTGGCTTGTTATTTCATGCATCCTCTGACCTCGGCTCTCTACTCGTTTATCCTGATTTCTGGCACCCACTGACCTTTGGCTTACCCACAACGATTCTCCTGTTTATCTCCGTATCTGTACTGCGACTTGGAGCATCATCCTGCACAGCCCCCGTGCACAGACACACAGGCCAGATGAGTTCTTACCTGACCACCTTGGCCTGTGTTTAATTGCAAGGATGAGCATATATATGCGCTACAGACTCCCAACTAAGGTAAGCCGTGATATACAGTCACACACACACAGAGGCAGACAGTCACAAACACAGAGGCAGATAGTGACATGCAGTTACAGTCACACACAGGCAGATAGACACACACACACTCACAGTTACCTCTGTCCATTATTGGTTGGAGTGGAGGCAGTGCATGCATGTACATGCATGTCTTTGGGCAGAATTCCCACGACCCATGCTACAAGATAAAATTGCGTTTACCCCGGATTTGACCAGACGGTGGTTGTTTTCATGTACCAGACGAGAGGCGACTCATGGAAAGGGATCGAGAAGGATTTTAAAGCATCTGAGGATAAGTCACTGGATCTGCTTGGCCCCATCACCAAGATCCTGTATTTTGCGGACCTGGCACTGTCACAGGGTAACAACTAGACCCCAATGCCATCAGAGGTACGCAGGACTGCACTGTTAAGAACTGATTTGAAACTGATGAATATGGCCCATGAAGACCAACGGCCTGCTCTTTGACGACTCATTGATAGCATTGTTTACCACTCTCAGCAAGGCCCAATCATCTATGAGAGAGGCGTTCCGCTCACCACCAGGACGTGGTGTTTTTGGGAGGGCTGGTTGGCAGAGGGGTGAGCCACCAGCTGATCTTTGAATACAGGCTCCAAACCTAACCCACCATCTTCTGCCTTCTACCCTATGTCTACCTACCTGACCTCATCCCTCTACAGGGGCACAAACAGAACCAGAGTCTACCAAAGCAGAGGTCGAGGACGTCTTAACACAGGTGAACCCACCTTTCCATACAAATGTCTCTACACTAACAGCAGGCATATTATCCCTTAATTTACAGAACTGGGAAGAGCTAGCATCAGACGCATGGATCCTACAAACCGTTCATCGAGTTCACACACAGTTTCATATTGTTCAGATGAAGACACCACCACCGTTACGGACCTCTACAGAACACGGGCTCTTATTGACAAAGAAATCCAAACTCTCTTCACCAAAGGCACAGTTCAATATGCACAAGACGAGGATGGTTTCTTGAGCAACATTTTCTGGTGCAATAGAAAACAGAAGACTTCTGTCCGGTCATCAACCTATGACAACTCAACTCATTCGTAGTATACCACCATTTTAAGATGGAAGGGATCCACATACTTCGATATCTGCACCTCAAAGATGATTGGTTCACTCGACGGGACCTCAGGGATGACTACCAGTAGTGCAGTCATCCCAAAGATTCCTACAATTCCATTGGCACGACCAGGCATGCCAGTTCACCTGCCTAACTTTTGGACTCAGCTTGGTTCCATGGTGCTTCAAGAAGCTACTGAAACCGGTCATGACTAGCCTACGGTCACTGGGGATACGATGCATAATCTATTTGGATGATTTACTACTCTATTACGACATGGTTATAAGACCGCAATTCCTTGGATTTCGTGGTAAATCACGACAAATCAGGGATGGAACCATCACAAATTGCCCAATTTTGGGGTTCGAAATCGACTCCACCTCATGCATTCTTCGGCTAACCCTAAAAGAGATATTTGGAAGATAGTGAATATGGATCACATCCATCTTCGTCTCCTTGCTCGGGTTGTGGGACTACTCTCCACTTCCATACAGGCTATTTACCCAGATCCTCTTCACTACCGAGCCATGCAGCGGCTGAAGGCGCACTTTCTGTGATCTGGAATCTCATACGACCAGCCGATCCCTTTCACAAACGGGATACGCACTGAGATCCGTTGGTGGCTTCTCTACAGGCAAGTCTGGAATGGGAAAGCCATTTTTAGTCCCACATCGGATTTCGTGGTGGAGTCGGACGCCAGCCAATGGGGCTGAGAGCACATTGTGCGGGATCATCCACAGGAGGACCCTGGTTACTCGAAGAGAAAGAATTGCACATCAACTGCCTGGAACTGCCACAGTCTGGCCAAACACATGTCCGACTGCTGCATCGTGTTGCGCATGGACAACATCTCAGCGGTCCAATATATCAATCATCAGGGCGGAGCTCAATCCCGGGCACTAACAGATGCAACAAAAGACATTTACAGCTTCTGTCTCTCCCGCAATATCAGGTTATAGGCAGAATACCTACCGGTAATATCCAACCTCACAGTGGACTGGAATTCACGACATTGGAAGGACAGCAGTGACTGGCACCTCCACAAGTCGATATTCCAAAGTTTGTACATATGCAGGGGTCCTCTCATTATCAACCTATTTGCCTCACGGATCAATCGTCAACTGCTCAGGTTCTTCAGCTGGCCACCAGATCCAGACTGTGAAGCAGTGGACACATTCCTTTAGACCTGGCTGAACCTGGGGGCTTACACCTTTTCCCCGTTCTCCATGTTGATGGGAGAATACACCAGGTACGCAACCAAAAGATATCTATGCTCCTCCAGACAACGATACGGCAGAGTCAAGCGTGGTTCCCGGTCCTTCTTGAACTACCCTACGACCATCCACTCCTCCTATCCCCATTTCTCCTCCTACAATCCGGCTCTCAGGGAGACTGCACCCTCTGGTACTACAAGGACGACTAGATCTGGTGGCTTGGACAATTCCAGGGGAACGTGGGCTACAGACGGTCTATCGCAAATCACTAAGGACCTACTATAGGACACGTGGGCACCCGGAACAAGAAGGAGCATGATTCTCAACTTCCTATCTCAGACATCATGCGTTCGGCGGACTGGTCTCGGAAGAAACCTTTCAGATTTTTTATTTCCGTCTTTCCTCTCACGTTTCTTTTTCTCTAATCGGATAGCGTTAAAAATGCAAAATATGAAGCCTCCTGTCATGTGGTAAAATTGTAGATTATAGATTATGCTAAATTAGTGTACTAATAATCTTAATTTTAGTAATGACAGGAGGCGAGTATTCACCCCCATTTTTATGTTTCCCTCCCCTTTTATCTATATTTTGTACTACTATTATCTATGTACTAAATTCTGCTATAATTTATAGTCCTTTCTCTAGAATGTAGTTAATGACAATTCTGGAGGGTTTGATATAATATTTACGATGTTGTTATATCGTTATATATTATTCAATTTATAGATGATTATAATATTTATGTATGTATGTACAAGAGTGAGAGGTGGAATCACAGTCACTACCAATACCTTTCACTTATTACTCCTTCTTTTCAGTATGAATACTTCCATCAACTACAAGCGAAATGTAATTCCCTCAAAAATGCATTACATTTCGGAGTTATCAGGATTCTCAAGTTTCTACAGTTTTCCGTTTCCAGTTAAAAGGGACTATCTACATTCACACCAAAGAAAGAGGGCTGTCCTACCTTATATCTGTGATGACTGTTGTTTTCTGATTGGTTAAATTTTTTTGATTGACTTGTTGCTGCTGGAATAATAAGTAAAGAAAGTCAATGCAAAATACTCACCTCCTGTCATTACTAAAATTAAGATTATTAGTACTCTACGTTAGCATAATCTACAATTATACCTCAACTGTCGAGTTGCAATTTGGATGATTCCATTTTAGTCCATCCTTTAACCTATGTATATTGCCAAACCGAGCCTGGCACTCCTGCCCAGTTTAACATGGTTTGATATAAACTGGAACTCTTCCACGTACCTGGAGCCCCCTTTAAATATAGTGTAACCTGGACAACATTGAGAGTCTGGGGGTGCCGGAGGAAGGTTAGGGGATTTGTGTAGGGTGCTCCTTAAAATGTGAAGTAATAAACAGTCTGCCTGCTGATTTCACTGGTTTCCATAGTAATTGTTCTGCTATGAAAACTAGGCACAATGTTTCAGATCACAGCAGTCCATGACCAATCCACCCCTTCTCTAGTGTCACTCAAATCAGCATCCAATACCTATCATTGTTATATACTCAGAACAAATCTCTAATTAAAATATAGATGTAACATCACACTTGCAGATAATGGAAAGGCGCCTCAGACTGGGTAAAGTGGTACATTTCGAAATGTTGCCTTGTTACCTCTGAAGGCAGTAGGTTTAGGCTATCGCCAAATGTAATATCTAATTATATATAATATAATGAACCTAACAAATGACCTCAGAGCGCTTTCTCACCTATTGTGTGCCCATTACTATGCTGTGTATGTGTGCTGACATAGGCTCTCCATAGATGTACTCAGCCAGAGATACACTCCCCCCCTCCCCTGTTTACTGACTGTTACTACTCAAAACTGCGTGACGTCACAAAGGAGCGGCCAGTGGTCTACGCGTGCGCACTACTTGACTCGTGTTGTGTTTGGCGTCTTCTGTTGCCATGGTGACATACCTTCGCTCTGCTCTCGGGATGCATGAGTGATCGGAGCGCATCGATCCCTTTTCTGCAGGGGCCTAAATAGCTACACGGAGAGAGGTAACAGGACCACTGTGTGTACCTCACTACACCCCGCTCTGCACACTGTGTGTGTACCTCACTACACCCTGCTCTGCACACTGTGTGCACCTCACCACACCCTGCTCTGCACACTGTGTGCACCTCACTACACCTTGCTCTGCACACTGTGTGTACCTCACTACACCCCGCTCTGCACACTGTGTGTACCTCACTACACCCTGCTCTGCACACTCTGTGCACCTCACTACACCCCGCTCTGCACACTGTGTGCACCTCACTACACCCCGCTCTGCACACTGTGTGCACCTCACCACACCCTGCTCTGCACACTGTGTGCACCTCACTACACCCCGCTCTGCACACTGTGTGCACCTCACCACACCCTGCTCTGCACACTGTGTGCACCTCACCACACCCTGCTCTGCACACTGTGTGTACCTCACTACACCCTGCTCTGCACACTGTGTGTACCTCACTACACCCTGCTCTGCACACTGTGTGTACCTCACTACACCCTGCTCTGCACACTGTGTGTACCTCACTACACCCTGCTCTGCACACTCTGCTCCTGATAGGCTAGAAAATAGTTCCTCCTAAACAGGGATACTTGGGACAGTAAGTCATTAAACTGAGAGGATTGCAGTAAAGAGGTCTTCTATAATAGGTGGTCTCGCTAGTGTTTACAGCAGACTGACTTATTCATTCTTCCATTTTTAAAGAATCTTGTAAACGAAGTAATGTTGTTAAAATGCTATTTATTACTCTAATACATTGTAAAACTAAAAATTACTTCTGGCTTACGAAACTACTTTAGTTGTCTTACGTTTTTTCTGTAATTACTACTGAATGCTGGGCACATGCTGCACTATATGTTTTCATATGTATGATTATTAACGGGACATAAGGTGAACGCATATGCTTTTTTTTTATACCCTAGGGTTTGCTAACTGATCTTTAAAGGGTGGGTTCTATGAACTAGCCTTTTTTTATTACTATGACTAACAACAAAATAAAGTGATTATATTTCCTTAGGTTACTT